ACTGCAGCTTTGTCTACCTAGTAGTATTCGGAATGACAGAATGCCTATACCGGACATGTGAAAAGTGGAGACAAAATGCAAGGAGAAGAGCGAGAGAGAGAGAAAGGGTGCGGAAATATATAAGACATATTGTGAAGCCGTGTGACTAAATCGATACGATGACTATGAGTGGCAGTAATTTATGCTACCAGTTGTTAGTGCTGCATCATCACTATGAGTGATATTTGAAATAAATTTATCTAATATGAGCTAGTGCGTGGACGGTTCAGTATTAGAATGCTCTGCAACCAAGCAAGTAGTCCGGGGTTCGATTCCTTGCTGTCACACACTTTTATCTAGCTTAGCCGATTGTAATCCTACAACAGAGGGGAGGTTGGGCGTGGCACTAGTAGCTCCACCCTGTAACATAATCACAGCTACTGAAACTTCACAGCTGAAGCTTGAAGCCCTATGTTCCAATCGCAACGCAAAAATGAACTGATCATTTAATTATTATCCTTGTTAATGAGTTAGCTCTGTGACTGAAAAAGGGTGATGAGTTCAAACTCTGGAGCCGGGTGCATACTACTAAAGTAAGTCCCGAAATTAGGAGGACAAAACAGCCGTCTATCCACCTGGTGGCTTTCAACTCTGTAACATATGGGTCAAATTACCAACCAATTGTTTTCGACAACTATAAGATTACTAATTATTATTGTTGTGATTGCGTAACCAGTAAATTCATCAAAGTCCATCAAAATTAAAATCAATCTTTCATTCATTGATACACCAGACAGAGGAGGATAATTAACCATAAACAATTTATGGTAATTCGATGTTATTTTGTATAAATACGGAAAGTAATAGTCTTGACTATAATTTTTACATAAGTGCAAATGATTGGTTAGTTACTGGCTTAACTCTTCGAGGTACATACTGTTTTCATCTATACATACATGGTAGCTTTGAACAAAAATATTGTCTTATTGTTTCTTTGTTTCAAAGAAACAATCAGTTCCAATAGAAGTAACCTATAAGGTGTGAAAACACACAAAAACAACCAATCAAGTTCAAGGTCTCCAGGAGAAATGATTAATAAAATCGTGGAGAAATCTAAAAGTTCACTTCAAATTGAAGTATGCGTTGAAAATGTCGCCTAGTAGGGCGATGAAAGCTTCGCAAATTAACCATCCAGCTCAGAGAACACAACCACATCAAAACCATCCACCTGAGCTACAAATCTACTCTAACATACATAGTCTTACTGTTCTCACATTAGGACAGATCATTTAATCCTTTTCGTCTTTGAGGTTTTGCCACCTCTGAAAGGCAGAAGCAATACAGATAATTTTCTGTGCTAGGATCGAATCCAACAAATCAGTACATATTTAATTTTTTTATTTTTTATCTCAGCTTGATTCCACACCGTATTTTCGGTACAGGTATTGAATTTTCAGCATGTGATATTGGTAGCCCAAATTTTGCAGGCCAGCCATAGATATCAGGTGTGCGTCAGAAGGGGATAGAGCCCCGGACCATATGCATGGTCGGCGAGAGTCCTAACCATTGTGCCACCGACGCTGTCATCAGCTAGAAAACCTTCGGAAAACTTGTAGGAAGTGATGAATAGCTGTTTTGTCACGCTATTAATAGGGTCCGCTAAGTTTTCAGGTGTGATTTTGGTTATGTGAATAAGTCAGAGCTCATCAGCTAGCTAGCCAATGGATAGACTTGCGATGGTCATCGACCAGCATGACATTGTGGCCAGAAGACTGTGGGTCCGAACCCACCCCGGTGGTAGGCGCTTACTTCTGAGGTGAGCCCAGTACTTCCTGGTTTTCCATTTCTTCTCTAACATATGTCAGCTCATGATTAAACATTCAACATATGAGTTAACTTGGCAACCTTTGTGAACTGTAATCTCAGTTTTAATATAGCAAAATTATTCATTCAGATATCTATAAAACATAACATAATCGAGCAAAGAATATTCTTTTCAATAAATTCCTCTTCTGGCTCTACAATTATATATATGCATGTTTATATACACAGAATATTCTTTATTTTTATGATAAAGTAATCCGTAAAATCACGTAAATCTAGCACAGTCAAATCCAGTCAATCTATCACTCATTTGTCAGGTAGGTAGTTACCTGGGTTTCTCTAGTGAGAAGTGTACCAGTGGAGTAGAGCAGGTCAGGTGTTAGAACAGAGACTATCCACGCTATATCTTGAATTGGCAGGAATTAGAATTCATAGACTGGACAGTGGATCTGTTCCTAGTGGCTTATTGGTCGTCTGTGAGCTCACCTTGTAATCGAAGGGTCGTGGATTCGAACAACAGTTAGATGGATGCGTACTGTTAAAAGGAGGTTCCCAAGCTAGGTGGGAAGGAACAACTGTCCAGTACACCCTGGCTAGTTGTCCAATGGTTCTGTAACTGGTGTTAGCTCATGATGAAATCTTACAACCAATTAAATGCCTGCAAACCAACACTCGATTTATCTCAGGATTTTATCATGAGCTGACATTAGTTAGAGAACCATTGGAAAACCTGGGAGTACTGGACAGCTGTTTCGTCCTAGTTTGGGGCTCTTCATCAGTACGCACCCACCGGGATTTATCCATTAGACTGACGAGAATCATTAACATAATCAATGTAATGGAAATTCGATATTGTTTTGCATAAATAAATAAAACAATAGTTTTGACGACAAGAATGCAAGTATACACGCCATGATTCATTTACATAATTGCTTGAGAAACACAGAAATAGCAGAGGCCAAGAACAGCAGGAGGACATATGAAATACACACATATACACACAGAAGCACACACACGCCAAAATATATGTTCGACTAACGAATATCACCTCCCTATTTATACCTCGTCTTTTGTTAATGTAGCATACAAATTTCCGGTGTCTCAAATTTACCCTCCCCTCCATCTTAACCCATCCTTCCTCTCTCTCTCTTTGTGGCACTCTCTGCTTCGATATATCTCTTTTTCGGTTTGTTTTCACGTCCGTAACAAAATATGCGACAGAAACATGATTAATTTCACAGATTTATACATTCACACATGCATATATCTATCTACATTTAAGTTTTAGTCGCTTTATGTGTGTATGTGTCTGTATGCCGATGTGTGCAGAAGGCACCGTTTTACACCTGTAACTCAACCAGCCAACAATTGGTCATCAGTTTGAGTGGAAACTTCTCTATGTGTAAAAAGAAGGCTTCTGTTCGTAGATGACGAAAGAATAGATTATGGTTAGGTTCCCGCTCATGTCTGTTTTCTTCTTGCACATTCTTGACATGTTGAAACAATTTAAGTTGAGTCGAGTCGCATGTAAGAGAGTCAAGTCAAAACTCTATCACAATGCATCCTTAAATGAATAACTAAGTATGCAACTGAAAAGATTGAATCATCAGTGTGTGGGTGTGTGTACGCAAATCACAAAGATGTTTTCTTTTTTACATAAACATTGATTGTTTTATATTTTCAATTTTGCATATTTTTGGTGATGAGGGTTAACAATAACATTTTTGACTTTCAGACGTTAACAAAAACTGTTAGTAGCGATAGATTCACTTTTTGGTTTATTTGTGCCGGAGCTCAGAATTGCGTCTCGTAGTTTTCATGTCGGGTTTTAAGAGAATTTCTTTATTCGGATATTACTCAACAATCTGACGTGTTATCTTTTTATATAGACCTAATTTTTCCAAAATATTACAATTCTTTTTACATCGCTGTTTGTACGCCCCCCTCACCCTGTGACCTTGTAAACCTTTTGGTTGTTGGTTGTTTTAACTTATCAATGCAGTTAGTGTCCCTCAAGGTCATCTGAGTCGTAAGTTTCTACTAAACATGAGAAGAAACACTATCCTCAATGGATGGCAGCTTATGCCAATACGTGAGATAACTGTTCCTCATTGGTATCCTACGTTCACAAAATGTACTCCTAAAATTTCGACAGTTGACATTCCACTGAATATCGTCGTGTATTTTTCGAAGGAGACAAAGATCAGATGTCATAAGAGTGGATTGGTTTGAGCTTCAGGTGAGATAGAACTGTGTCACACGACCTACTGTCAATTAAATCTTTTTAATTTAAAGGTTGTGTCTGATTTCTCACAAATTGGAAGATATGCAAGTGAAAAGCAACAAGTTGGCAGGAAAAGCATCCAGAGGAGATAGGACTTCAGGTGAACATAGAGAAAACAAAGGTGAGGAAGATTCCTCGCCAACATCAACACCAACAGCAACAACAACAACAGAGAACAATCAGCCAGGATAATGGGAGCAATCTGAAAGAAACAACCTCCTTTACCTGCCTGGGAAGCATCGTTTCAACTATAGGCGGACAGAAATGACGAGGATATCAAAGCCAGAATCGGAAAATCAAGACAACCTTCCACTACTTTTAAGTCTGTGTGGAGGTCAACAGCACTCACCATCAAAAATAAGATCCGGATTTTCAACTCCAATATGAAGTCAGTGCTACTCACTATACGGATCAGAGACTTGCACTTCGTGTCATAAAGAGCATCTCAAACAAACTACAGACCTTCATTAACAGTTGTCTTTGCTCAAAACTCAAGATCAGATGGCCGGTCAGAAGAGATCAGCAACAGGGATCTCTGGGAATGAGCGAACCAATCAGAAATCGATTGTGAAACAAATAGGCAGGAAGAAATGTAGATGGATTGTTTGGTTATACTCTGAGGAAACCATCAAGTGACATCACTAGACAAGCCATTGCTCGAGTGGAACCCGAAAGGGAAGCGGGCGGCGAGTTGGTCGTCAGTGCAAGGGTGACTTGTAGGTGGTCATGTGAAGAGGAGATGAAAGCGTGTGGGCGGACTTGGAGCGGGGTGGAAAAGTTGGCAGAAAACCGGACGAGCGGCTGAAGCCTTGTGTTCCTCTAGGAATTAAAGGATATAATAATAAAATAAACTCGGCTGAAAATATATAAATATATTATATATATGTATGTAAAAATTATAAACTGTTCTTACTTTCACTGGGTTCCTTGTACACCTCCACAGTAGGCAGTGTTTTCGATTTTCCAACTCCGTGAAAATATCGTTTCAATCGTAAGCCTAACTCACGAAGATTACTTTTTGATAAAGATGTCGAAGTGAAAGTGGAATTCTTCGCTTTACTGTCATTACTATTATTATTAGTACTACCATTATTCAATGTTGATGTGTTCAGAGTCATTGAAAAGCGTTTCAGTGAGTTGAACATTGAATATTTACTCTGATAATTTGTTGTCTTAATGTTTGAGTTTTGATTTTGATTACTATGCATTGCATTGGTTTCCAGATGATCATGACTAGCGAAAATTGAATAAATATCAGACATTGATAATTGATTATTTATCGAATGTGTTAAATGTTTCAATGTGGGTTGATGTTTATGTTCTTGTTGTTGTTGTTGTTGTTGTTGCAGTTCAGTATTTCCACTCTCTTTATGATATAATCCTGTCTCTCTTAGAATTGTACTCACAAAATCAGATTCAACTATGATCGGTGAATAATTACTATCCTTTGTAGTTAAAGACTCATCTAAATTAGTAATCTTTTTTTGTTGTTGTTGTTGTGTTTGATGTTTCATGTCATCAAATTCTTCTTCTTCGTCTGCTTCGAATCCATCAAAACTGAAAGAATCTATTGAGATAGATTGTAATGAGACGTCATCTATCGATGCATGAGTTGTAATACTTGTAGGATCTTGATCTGTCATCAGTACATTTTCAGATTCTTTCATTGGAAAGTAGTATCCATGATAGTTGGCGTTATGGTATTGTGTTTCAAATTCATTCATATCTCTTGTAGGTTCAACAGATATAGTAGAAGATTTCTGTTTATCTGCGTTGATTCCATGAGTTTCAGTTCTTGTTGATCTTGTGATGGTCGATGTTTTGATGCGATTTTTAAAGTGTTTCAGTGTCCAATGGTTTGTTTTATTATTCCGGTTAAGATATGATGAATGAAGTATTTTTGGCGATGTCATATTCTGAGATGATTCTTCAGTAATATGACCTTGTTGACATTGAATAGATTTCGGTGGTTTCTCAGCACTGCATCGTTTATGATTCCGAACTTCTCATGATGATGATGATGATGATGTTGAAGTGTAGGATTTGAAAAATAACGACGGATTTGTTTTAGACGATTCAGAAATGTTTGTCGAGGTTTTTCATCCGCTTTTGAACATCCACTATTGATGAATTCATCAGTAGTCATGATCCTAATCGACAGGGGACAGCGTGGACTCGAGGGGTGGACGAAATTTATCAGTGATATGGGATAGTTATGTTAAGCATATCAATAGAATGATAAGGCCGGTTGTATGTAACCTGAACAAAAGTAGTAAGGGATGGAAAGATGCAACGTATGAAAAGATTAGCAGATTAGGTGATAGGGTAGCGAGAATTATTAAACAAATTACGTCAAAGAAGCACTGAAAATCATCAACAGAAAATGTCTTAGAACTATTCGGTTCATCTCTTCGGTAATTATAACATACCTATGATCATAGGAAACAATAAAAAAGACAGTTATAGCGAAGAAAACTTCCTATCCGACGAAGTCATCAACTAGACTGTACATTCATGTATTTATCATAAATGGGTGGGAAAGTTCCAGAATAAATTCCTGTCAAGAGTTTTATCTGTCCCCTTGTTTATTATGGCAATTGAATTCCTAACTGTAATTTTATTAATTTGACCCTTGACCGGGAATTATTCTGGTACTTTCCCACCCATTTATTATAAATACATGAATGTACAGTCTAGTTGATGACTTCGTCGGATAGGAAGTTTTCTTCGCTATAACTGTCTTCTTTATTGTTTCCTATGATCCTTACTAGTGATCGTCGTCAATCGGGGTGAGTTATTCAAGCAATGCGAACATGCACGGGTGAGCATTGAAGTGACCGGAGAGAGTAAGCGATGATTTCATACATAAAATGACGTTTATTTACTAAGAAATTATGGACAATAAAAAATAAAAAAAAACACACTTGACCTTAACCCAAATACTGATCCTAATCCAGAGTTTAACCCTATCACTATTCCTCATAACCCTAATTATGACATTTATCGTAACACTGACCCTCACTCTAATCCTTAATCTGACCCAAAATCTTACCCTAACAGTGATCCTGACTCTAAACCCAATCCTGAGACTGATCGTAACCATGACCCTAGCTCTAACTTCTAGCTTTAATCCTAACGACTTATCAACCCATCTTGCAAAGAGTACTTAAAGACGAGATTGGGGATGCAATTTGTAGCTCTTTCGGCTCCTGTGCAGTATTCATTGTGGCGCAATATTAATAATGCTAGCTCCTGTTATCCGATGAATAATAGGCTTTCAAGATTACTGATGTCTTAGCACTCTTAAATCATTATTCCTTAATTTGACGTATTAAGTAGGGTTGTGGGGACAAGAACTTGCCGATTATTTTTACCAGTTATGGTGACATATTGGCTGAAGTTAGTATTCAGAAAGTGCTAGATTGGAACTACAACTGAGAAAGCCAGGTGATCTACACAAAAATTGTGAAAGGGTAAATGGGAAAAATTCTGGAGCTTACTGTACAAATGGACTAGTGGAAGACGTGGCGTCTACGGCGTTAGTCTACTACTCAGGCGAGCTGGATAATCATAAATTCAAAGCAAACTTGTGGTTCATGTACATGGACTCACAGGTCATGGCAGCTCATGACACTTTTCCACTACACTGTCTTGTGGATCACACTCCAATTTTCGACAAAGTCATCATCAACTAAGTAGCTGTACTTTCGTGTATTTATAGGAAATGGGTGAGAAGGTCCCAGAACTCAATTTCTGGTAGGTCGAGTCAGATTAATAAAATTCTAAACAGAGAAATCGGATAAAAAAGAGCGTGGAGAGGAATACACTGGACCGACAAGAAGACCCTAGATCATCTGGATTTCGCGCGTGGATGATTTGTGTTTAATGTCATACAAACTGGAAGACTTACAGGAGAAAACCAGCCAACCCAAGGGAAAAAGCAGGTATCAAAGACATGGCTTCAGACGAACTTAGATAAAACGGATGTGAAGAAGATGACCAACCGACAGTAACAAGTGTCAGTCACCATCAACGGTAGACAATTGAATAGGTTACTTCCTTCCCTTCTCTTGCTTGGAAGCAGTGTTTCAACCAATAGCCTGCGGAGCGAATGAAGATATCACACATCAAGGGTTGGTAAGGTGCGGTACACGTCTGTTACTCTGATATCAGTTTGAAAATCTTCTGCACCCTACAGCATAAACACTCCAGTTAGAATTTTCAAAACCTTTATGAAGTCAGTCAGTTAGTTTTTCTATATATGAGACATAAACGTGATCAACGCGTCGCAAGAAAATTTCCAACAGGCTGTTTCAGATTTATCAACAGCTGTCACTGGTCGTTTGATATCGAAGGTAAAAAGGCTGGTCGGAAAGAATAAGCAACAAGAAACTGTAGAAGTGAATGAACCAGTCAACAACTTGTCGCTTGGCTAATATTCGGAAGAAAGTGAAGAAGGATTGGTCACATGCTGAGGATAATGTCGAGTGACATCGAGCTCCAGCTAGGTCATAGGTTGAATGGAACTTGAATAACAAATGGGGACTGAGGTGTAAAGTTCCGAGGGTGACATGGAGGAGATCGTCTTGGAGAAGAGGAGATGAGCGACTATGGGCGATTATGGCGCCAGTCAGCCTAAGAGTGCTGCGGAGCATAGGGAAAAGATGGATATGCGCCGGAGTTAAAGCCCTATTTTCCACACGGAACCCCAAGGAACAATTAATACTAAGTAACAATAATGATACAACGTCTCGTGTAATATCGAAAATTCTGACAAAATACAATGTGTTCATTTAGAAGAGTATAAATATTATTAATACTTAACTAACTTCATTCGTGTTTCCCTTATTCAACAAAATTTTAACGAGTTTTCATACACAAACATACAAGCACAAACACAAACAGACACACTCATGAACATTCATGCACACAAAATGTACGAAGTTTTAGTGAGCGTAAATTAAACTTCAAGGTAATGGTAATAATTAATTTTTGACACAAAAAATAACGATTTTGTTATAATTTCTCAGAATAATTATGAATACATCTTAATGACAGAGATATGTAATTTAGAATTTTCGTGAGAAAATATCTTATAGCTATCATTACCTTTATTATTAATTTAGGTATAGTTAAATCGATGATCGTATTGCAATAGAATTTCCTTTTGGTTCAATAGTAGCAGGGTGTTTTTGATGCCCAGTTAATGTGAAAAGATCTATTAAAGTCGACTGTTGACAATTTACAACTGTATACGAGGTATTTAACAACTTCCATCCGGTGGGAAAATTCACTCTTGATTGAATGGATAACGAATGGAAAGTCCGCTTTCTTGATGTGGATTGAAAAAGACGACCAGACGAAACCTTGAGAAGGCCAGTCCATAGAAAAGCCAACTAAACAGCAAAGGACTGACAATTTTCTACAGTTGAATGCCAGTTGTGAACTAAAACGAAATGCAATTAAGTCCCTTGTCACTTGGATTCCATGTGGCCTCTGTAGTCAAGACGCCCAAGGAGCTGGATAAGATTTACTCAAAGAAACCTTCATCCAAATAATCGATTCTAACCAAGATTCACCAACAAGAATGTCAGACCAACCAAAAGTCCAGAGGAACGAAGCATTACTTGTCCCAAAAAAGAACCTTGATTTCAAGGTACACTTAACTCCAAATATCCTTAAGAGAAAATTTTCAGCATCCTTGAGAATATTCTTTGTGGAAACTGTAAGACCAATGCGATCTAGCTGTCTACTGGTCTACAGAAGCCCAAATAAACAAGACCTTGCACCTGACTACTTTTACGTGCACAAGTATGTCAGTTCACCTGTTGCTGTAGTTGAGCCAGGCACATAATGATTTTTAGTATCGTGATAGTAAAGTGGGTAGCTGTTAATAAAATTCTTCAGAGTAGGCTGTTAAAAATGCTTTTTATTTTGTGGTGCTCAACCAAAGGCAGTGAAGCATATAGAAAAACCGACTGATTTTACTTTTAAGTGCAACTTACATGAACTGGTTAGTTGACGTGATTCTACCATCACGCCTATTCTTCTTTACTGCATTCCCAGCTTAATTTTCCCTCGGTAACTTAGTAAATACTGCTTTAATATACTGCGAAAGGGGTACTGAAAGCTGTCAGTAGGGTGAGTCGGAGTGTTGTTGCTAAAGCAACTTGTATTAACACCCTTTTGTAGACAATGAACACATAGACTGCCGCAAGAAATCAACACATATTATCTTGTCAGACGAACTGTGAGCGTCCTCTCTATTCGAAACTCTCCCACTAGGATATCATCGGGTAGAACTAAAAGAAACTACAGAAGACTTTGTCGCTCGATTGACTAAGTGCACAAAACTCTACAATACCTTATTTGTCTGGGAAACATTTTATTTGTGATCAGAGAAGTGCGTTAGACAGGACATTGCCAATTTATTACGGAACTCTAAGCAAATGACCCTACGTTTTTTACGCTTTTATGCTTTTGTTAATATTTCTCCTCGAATTTTAACTTTATATTCGTAATCTTAATTGAATGCTATTATCAATGTAGATGCCCTGTTTAATTATTTCCCCCTTTACTAAGTTTGGAGAAAATTAGACGTACTATAGTGTACTACATGTTGAAAATCCCACATTTTTACAAAAAATACTGTTTGGAATAAAGCCGTTATCATTATTAATAAAAAATATTGGGAATTTGATTCCTTATTTTCCATCCTACTGGAAATTCTCTATCTATCGGATCGATTTTGCGTGTTAGATAGCTAGCCTCAGGCCCAGCTATCTCTCGTCTTTTGGGATTTTAGAGACATCTAGTAAACCAGGTGAGATTCGCAGAATCGGGGGCGCTTGCCACAGAAAAAGACAATTTTATTAGATTAATGCAGACTCTCACCAACAGTTGCAAACCCTTT